AAATACGTTTTAAGACCTTGTTTCAGATCACTATCCTGACTAGAAGTGCATTTATTTTTCATTCATGGGAATTTTCGATTAACTTCGTATACAGTAATAAACTTTTCTTTATTTTGAAATCAATACTCATTTGCTTCTTGTGATATTCTAATAAATCATCATAGAAAGTATTTTTTTTGCTATAGTCATTCACCGAACTGGATCTAAATGTCAATTAGATCGATGAGAAAGGAACAAGACAATGAATATTTTTATTTGTATTTCGAAAACCTGTGGATGTTGATGTAGGTATGAGTCTTGAACTCTTCTCAGACACATCCACATCTGAGCTTTTTCATTGAATTGAATATCCCTATTTCAAAATCGAAAAATTTTAAGCATTTGGAATAGTCATTGAATATTTACATAAAAAAAAGACGACACAACAGGTCGATCTTTTTTCGTTTATCGGGTTTGGCCTACCTATATGAAATAGATGGTTGAAAAGAAGGAATAAAACAAAGTAAAGCGCTAACGTTGTTTTTTTTATCAGTGCAAACGACTTGAGAAACAGAATTGATAATACTATAGTAGCAATGTGAAGCATGTCACGTGGTAAGAAAAAAAAATGAAGGCTCACATTCTATGTAATACTGTGCTTAATAATAGTAAAATCAAAGTTGAGTCATCATAACAAAATACAAGATAAATTTCAGGAAATTATCCCATGATTCATGTTTGTAAAATACTCTTGTATAGATTTTTTCGTCATGATTGTTGATACTTTTTTAATATAGTTTTTATTTGAAAAAAACAATATAATTACAACTTGCTCAAAACGAAATCTATTCAGTAGTACACTAATAGAAGACGTTTCTTTTCAATATATCAATAAATTAAACAAGAAAAGCCAAATGAGTTATTAAGAGCTGATTTGATAAATAGTTCATTTGTATAATAAGTTACACAATCAATATAATCTTTTTTGTGTCGATTTCAAGATAAGAAAAAAATGTCTAATGATTATACTTTTGCAAAGAATAATTATGAATTTTGTTTTAAGTTTTCATCAATTCATATTAGAAATTATCTTGAAAATTATGAATGCATATTTTATAAGCTTCTGTTTGAACAAATGAATGTATTTCATGTTTCAAATACTGAAAATTAAAATCAATAATTTAAACTGTTCTTGAGCTCAATGCCAACAAATCAAATAAAAAAAAATATCTGAAATTTTTGATCACTCATCAAGTCAATGGCACACTTTCGAATATCTATTTTAAATATACTCACAACAGTACCTATCTGCAAATCGACACTCTTGTTTTTTAATCAGATAAAATTTATATGAAAAGAATGATAAATTTCTGACCTTATCTACGTATACGATTCTTTCGTAATTTTCGAGCTCCACAACACGTAAGCTGTCTTATTTACTTTTCATTGAAATGCGTCTGCATTGACGCAAAAGAACACATATCGTTTGCTAGAATGTGTGATTTTATTACGTTTTTTTTTACTTTGACGTTTTCGGTGAGTAATGTCGTTCGTCTAAGTTATACTGGAATTTTTAGATAAGGAAAAATTGAATGAGAGACTTCATTGATCAACACTCATGAAGATCAACACTGGGAAAAAACACATCATAATATTAGTAACAGCAAACATTTTTTTTTCTCATTCTTTCTTTCTTTCCTACCGTTGATCTTGAGAGTTCTATTGCTGTTCACTACTGTGAATAATATTACAGGGTATGTCTCATGCATTGGCACAATGCTCATTTCTTTTTCTTTATTAATAAGTCTTATCGAGTTTTTGATTGATATTGCTCTTGATAGTATTCCTTTTATTGTCAATATGCTACACACAATGAATCGATCATATATTTTTACCGTATTTTCTTAGTTTAACAACATAACTAACACAAAAGATATCTTTGCTAGGCAATTATTTACCATTGTAGAAAGTTTTTCAAAAAATTATTCTTAGAATCTGTTGTACGATATGCTTATATAAGTCTTATAGTTGAGTACATAGGCAGAATAATTTTATATTGTTTTACTGATTTCGATTCCAACAGACTGATGTAAAATGAGGACCTTCTGCACAAACTTCTATCAAGACTTCTATCCTATTTTTCTTCAATTATCATAAAAATAAATATTTGGGTGTAACATTAATTGACATTCAAAAAATATTTTATTACAATTTATTGAAAAATAATAAATGACATAATTACATCACTATTGACTTCTTTCCACACCATATCAGTTTTACCTATTCTTTAAGTGTTTGGAATTTACCAAATGATGAATTGGAAAAAAAAGAGTATTATTTGTAAAATGGCTGAGTCCCTTGGAATGACGTAGAAAATATGAATAAAAGCTTCTAAAAAGCTTTAGATTAGTTATTCTATATTTATACAGTAAGTATACATCATACTAAATATTTCACATGTGTATTACGTGTATGTAAGCGATTTTGACTGTTACACGATAGAATAAAGATATTTTCGATTCGAATAAATTAAAAAGAAGTGAAATTTGCAGTATCCATCGTGCGGAATTAAGAAAGAGAATTCAAAATCTTTGCTCAGCTCGAGTTTATTAATCAGAATATCACAACTAATTAGTATAATATTTATTGAGTAGTATTATCGACCTAATTTATTTTCAGATAGAAATGAATACTGACGCAGATCCTTATAAACACTATCTACAACAAGAAGAGTTTCTCAGCGAAGGCAACAATCATGCTGAGTGTGTACAGCCATCCGTTTCATCTGAAAACGAAACGACGACGCCTTTTCCTGAATTATGCGATTCAGGTACAGCCAATATTGGTAAGTTTAATACGAAAATTTTCATACTAGAAAGCGAGTAATTAAAATATTTGTTTATTTTTGTATTGTCAACTGTAGAAAAAAAAAGATTCACAACAAGCCGTTGAGAATGCTATTGATAAAAACGTGGTAGTGTCATCTGGAGCAGCCCAACCTTTACCACCAATTGAAACTTCACCTGTGAATAATTCTGGCAATGAACTATTATCGGAATCAGGTAATTTTAATCCGGAGTTTATTGTAACGATAAATGAAATGTCTGTGTTTTATATTATTTAGGAAAAAAAGTCGAACAAACCAGTAAGCAAACTGCAAGATCTCAACATAAACGCAAACAAGGTATGATTTTAATGAACATTATTTATAGGAGTCAAGCACTAAGTATCGATCTCTATTCAGATGTCGGAGGATGTTATCAAAGTTAAATAATGATAGGTTACTCTTATAATGAAATTTCTATAGAGTGATAGACATTACAAAAAACTAAATTCGAATTTGTTGATTTAGAAATTGAACAATAGTATAATAGCTATTTCAGGAAGAAGACAGTTTTTAAAAGAAACAGGAGTCTCCTCGCTCTTTTCTCATAGTAATCATTATCCGATTTCCATGGAATCTCAATAAGACAGAGTCAAATATACAAACTAATACTATGCTAAGAGACATCGAATACAAAATATAAATATCTTTTGATATAATGAACTATTACTATGACTTTGAGACAGTACTAGCCATCTTATAAAATTTATAATAAAATGTTTGTCTTGTCTACAACAAAATACTCTTCAGAAAAGTTCAAATCGAAAATCGAAAATCTTAATATTTAGATTATTATTGTGAATTTTAAAATGTATATTGTTTTAGTGAAGTTTAATTTGATTGACCAGCTTATTCTAGTACCACAACAACCGAGCACACCAAGCAAATATCGGTAAAGCATTTTTTGTAAACAAACCAAATATTCTTTTTATGTTATTTTCAGGTCGAATATACCCAAAGGTACAAGTGAATTTAGATATGGTGATAAAATGTTCACAATAAACATTGAGAAAATCGATAAGAGTGAAAAACTTGACTCGGGAAACTTCGGTTCAGTCAGTCGAGTCAAAATCGAAGGGTTGCCTAACGATTGTATGGCAATTAAAGTACGTAGTGCAAAGAAACATTGCTAGATTTTTGCATCTCTTTAAAAAACAAACTTATTCTCATTAGGAAAGATCCCAAGAAAGATGAAAGAATATTTAGAACGAAAGATATTCTTAACTGGGAAAATTTCTAATGGGATTATTTCTTCCTTTCTTCCTTCATTTTCAAGAGGATGAATGAAAATCTAAATTATTCTTTTCATTCATCGAAAATACTCAAATCATTTAACATGGACATTGTACATTTTAGTGTGCTATAAATGGAAAACAGGTAAATGGACGAACATCAGGAGATATTGAATTGTCAATAATGGAAAAGGTTGCTTCAAACAATACGCCTTATATTGTCAATTACTACTCGGCAGTCATTCATCCGGTACGTATTGATTTTTTCTATATTTCTAGTTTTTAATGCATACCATGTCATATTTGTAGGAAACTTTGGATTTGTATATCTGTATGGAGTATTTTCCTGCATCAATAAAGAAGTTTTATTCAGTGATGCATAAATTAGATGGAGTTTTGTCGACTCATGTTGATCTTTTGGTGCGCCGTATCGTGTACAACGTAAGTTCACGATTATCTATTCATCGTTGTTACTATTCTTCATTATAGATTGCGTCAGCACTTCGTATTTTGCATAAGAAAGGCATCATTCATCGAGATATAAAACCTGATAATATGCTTATCAACAAGGATGCTATAGTTAAATTGTGCGATTTCGGTGTTTCGGTAGATCTAAATGAAGATTCAGATTCATTCTTTGATGGTGGTACCGAATCTTACAGACCATCGTGTCCTCAGTCCTCTCCTAGCATTCAAGATGATATGTGGTCATTGGGTATTAGCTTGTTGGAAATTATCAATAATCAACATCCGTTCCACAATGAGTGTCTTAATGACTTACCCTTCAAACTACTAAAATGGAAACCTGAAATTCCTTCAAGAGTCTCTGATGAGATACAACAACTTATTCGAGACCTGTAAGTAGTTCTGACTTAAATTGATATTTTATATTCATGTTCACTTTTCAGATTGCAATTAAATCCTGAAAAGCGACCACCCTCTTATGATGACATTCTAAATAGACCTGTTATCAGCAGTATGCCTCAAATGCCGTCCAATGATGAGCGTGATTTCGCTCATCGCATCATTGAGAAAATTTCTTGAATTGACGGAACTATATTATAAAATATTGCATGGTACTTAAATCAATGGATTATATTTTGACGTTCTTTTGGTACATATATCCAAATACAAATTTAAAAGAATATGGCATTCATATAAAACGATATATTTCTTTTATAGTGATCCATTTTCTTCATGTTCATCAAGTGGTGATCGACACGTTAATTAATTAGTCGTTGTTTTCTAAAAACTTTTCATTCTCTCGAGTTTCATCTTTTTAATGAAATAATGTTTTTTGTATTTAAGTAACCACAATGGTATCAAACCTTCAAGAATTTTTTATTGTTTAGTGTGTGTTTGGGTGCGAATATTGGTGTAAAACAAGAGTATCACATTCACATCCTGTTCGTGATCGAATTCTAAATAGAAAGTTTGTTAAAACAGAACTAATTATTTGCTTTTTCCATCTTTTATTCTTCATTGAATTTTGTTTTCTACTGAAACTTTTCTACCACCAAAGTTGCGTATGCTTTGAATGTGCACTGTGTGATAATTCAAATAGATTGTCGAAGTAAATTCTAGGTAAATTATCAATAAAAAATGTAATTAGTCTATTGGGATCATATGTGACGTAACTCATTTCATATATTCTTCTATTTTTGATGTTCTTCGATAGTACCTTCCATTCGAATCATTTTCATGAAGTTCTGCTGCTTCAATGTATTTATACAAAGCATCTTAATGACGGTCCATCGTCTCCATTAATTTACCCATACCGATTAATAACTAGATGTAGTTATCAAATGATAAATGACTTGTTTTGTTTAAGAGTGAATTCATAATACTTCAAAGCTTCATTATTCTGTTCTAGTTTAAGATAAAAATTGCTGAGTATTAGATGAAATTTAACTTTAAGTGATGATTTCAATTGAACGAATTTACTTAATTCACTACTACGTAATATACACTCGGTCAATAAAATCGCCGAGACATCAGCAGCATCATACGCCGAATTATGCATTTTTTCCAAATGTGCAGGAAATTCTTTACTATTACCATAAGCTAATATTTCAGGAAATGATCGATTAAAAGGCATTGTGGATGCCTTGTCCACTATTTGTTTTAGACTTTCCGTAATAGTCAAGTTGTTTTGTATATTAATTAGTGGATTATTCATGTGCGTTGAAAAGATTCTATTCTCAAACTTAGTTCCAACCATTTTGCTATACATTTTGATACCTTCATCTGTATTATGTTGTCGCACAGCTATGAAACGTTATTTATCATAACACGCGTATTTTTTTATTCCGATCGTGAATTCTTTTGTTTCTTCGTATCTTGAGGGTGTTGATATGTATGAAAGAAAGACACTCACACCCACAGCCACACACCCCTGAAACGTTTTTCAATCATACATAACATCATATTAGGATCACAATTTGTACGATCGACCTTATTAATTGAAATATCAATATGATCACCATTTTCGAACGAGTCTCCAATTTTTTTGTACTTGTTCATCATATAACTTTTGTCGTTTATATTGTGATTTTAAATAACTAATACGTACTGGAGCACAAAATAATTCATGGCGACTAAACATAAATATTTTTTAATATTATTATACTATAATATTAAAGAACTAAAGTTGCAACCTAGTATCAATAGTTGTGACTTTGGGAGAAGATAAAGGACTTTTTAATTTTTCCAATGTACTGTTTGTTTCATTGTTTAAATTCGAAGAAATTCCTATTAATGAATAATTAGTTAGAAAAGAGTAATCTTGGATGAAATTTGTTATGCGTAGTCAACCTGATTGAATATTTGAGTTTTTTTTATATAAATGATGAATATGATTGTTCACAAATCATGCTATTGTTAGATGGTGTAATTTTATCAACAATGATATTATCAACTAGTACATCATCAGTTAAAGCTGCATTATGAAGAGATTCCCAATAATGGCTTTTAGTCCGTGGATCTTGTCTAAAAAAACTAATTTATAATGTGTTTTCTTTGTTGTATGTGTTGTTCGCGTATTAATAGAGAATATAACCGATTAAAGACCTTCAGCCTAATGATGAGTTGAATCATCTTCCATCCATTTTGCTTTAGAATACAGTGAATGTATTTTAAATTTAAAATAATTTAAAAAGTAATTTTTTCAAGACAGTTATGTGTGAGTTTTTATGAATTTTCAATATAAAAATTTTTCAAATACCTAACGCATCTATTAGAATAGCATATGCATGTTCTATCAATCCTTGTGATTGAGGATGCTGTGATCTTTCATGAACGATTTTCACACCTTTATAATAAAAGAGGAAATTATGTAATGTCTATGAAAAATCCATTGTGACTAATAAACGCAAATTGAAAACAAGAGATATTAAATAACTTTTTCATAAATTTAAAAGTTAAAAATGTCATAAGCAATAGCTTTATTATAACCTGAAAAGTCTGATTGAAGATTATTTATCAATTCATTCACAAATTATCGAACATTGTCAAATTGTAAGATCTTTGGTGGACCGAACATAAAAAATATCAGCAGTACTTCGTGAAGTGGCCCTTTAATTGCAGTATCCATTTATAAATTTTTCCATGCGAACTGGCGTTAGGTCAAGTTCGCATATCGATAAGGTCCATTTGGATCCTAGTCATGAATTCTAAATCCTATCAATATGAACATAAATGATGAAATATGATCAAAAATTTAACAGAAAATATAAAAATATACTAATGCTGAATAATAAGTCAAGCAGAAATTTTTCATGGTTATAATTCTTTTTCTTTTGCATAGAAGGATAAGTGTATAGAAGATTTACTATAAATTTATTACAATTTTGAGGATTTACCAGCAGATACTGCACAAATCATATCTGAGATCGAAATATGAAACATAAAATCTTGTAAAATCATTTTAAAAATAGTTGTATCTGAAATGTAACATTAACTTATACTAGAAGATTCTTAATAGATCATATCTGTTACATAGTATAGTTTTTTATTTAATAGTAACATCCTATCCGATGGTAATCTTTAATGAATTTAAAAGTATGTGTTTGTGCAAGATTTCAGACAGAATGTTGTATAAATTTCGTTTGACCTTAAACGATTATAGCAGTTCCAACATACGATCCAGTGCTTGGACATATAAAAAGTGTTACACAATAATTGGATATTACTGGATGATATAGAAAATTAAACATTACAATATAATGAAGAATATATGTAGTAAGAATTACCTTATACTAATAATTGCTTTGCTATCATTGGCTTCGCTATTGAATTTCTTTTATCACAATAAGAGCAGTTTTTCAAAAAGAAATGTAATAATTCTCTATTGTACCAACTATAATTTACTGCTAAGCTTTCAAGACATTTGTCTCAACCACCATGAGCAATTTCAATATGAATTTTCTTAAAAACATCATACATATTTTCATATAATAATATTGATTTTCCATTTTTATTATCACATAAAAATTGTTGTTTCCCAATCAATCGTAAAGTAAATGAATAACAACACCAAGATGTAAAGCGTAAGTTATTTTCTTCAGAGGATAATTTATTTTGTAAGCCGACAATTATCTTTTCACTCAAAGCACATGTAATAACTGTTTTATGTTGAAATTTGATATTTAATGAATTAATATGTCGATCTGCTAGTTTATAAAAATTTTTACGTGAATCATTATCTGATGATTGTATGTCAGCCATTGTTATATTTATTATGTGCTGAATGATTTAAGATTGAACCCAATTAGTTCGCGCCTAATGAAAAATTCAATTTTGCATAAAACTTAATTTTGCCTAGGACATTATATATGTATATCGATACTTTCAGTGTCAATAAAAATTTTTATAAATACCATCACAACGATGTATATCTTTTTGTGTTAGATTACAAGTATACCTTCTGTCAATAAACGTCATTTTTTTTTCATTTTCTACTCTGTTTGAGACAAAAACACGCTGTTCTGTTACACGTGTACATACCGTTGATTTTTAATGATATGGAACAGATAAAACATAAAAGACAAAATGATTTTACTGATAATAACAAAAAAAAGAAATTAATATTTAATTTACACAGGTCAGTGAAAAGAAAATGTTTTTTTTATGATTTTAATTTTCGCCTTTTATTTTATAAAGAGATTCATTCACCCATCTTGAAGATCTTTCTAACGAACTTTTTTATGAAATTTTTGATTATCTGGATATTTATGATGTCTATGAAGCTTTTTCAAAAGTTAATACTCGATTTGAAAATCTTTTGAATGATTCAGTTCTTTCTATTCGAATCAGTTTATCATTTATATCGAAATCAAGATTTGAACATTATAACACAAATATTATCATTCCTTTTCAATATCGAATAACATTACTTCATCTATCAAATCCATTGATTATCGAACGTCTCTTTTCACCAATTTCTATTGTATTAAAATTTATTCGACTTGAAAATCTTCAACTTCGTAATATTGAATCAAAATATTTTGAAGAACTTCTTATTCTTTTAATTTCGTTACCTTTTCTTTATTCATTAATTGTTAGTTGTACAGATAATGTGCAAAATAAAAATGTTTTCTATCATCAGTTATTTCGTTTACCCGTCCTAAAATATTGCAAATTATCATTGACAGGAAATTCTCAATCTAATCCATTATCTATGGCAACTACAGAATTTAGTCCTATTGAATATTTTATTATTAATCAACTATATGTCGATGAACTTGATGCGTTTTTATCATATATTCCTCAAATTCGTCGTTTATCTATTCGAAATTTATATAAATCTCCTAAAAAATCAATAAGAGAATTCTGTCCAATTGTATTAAATCATTTGACACAGGTTTCTTTGAATATGATAGATGTTACTTTTGATGAATTTCAATTCATAATCAAAAACTTATTTAATCGAATTGAAATATTATACATTTCAACAAAGGATGATCGAGCATATATTGATGCCAATCAATGGCAAGAATTAATTCAATTTCATTTACCAAATCTACGAATCTTTGATATTCAGCATAAATATTCTTTTAACAAAACCAATTATTTACTTTATGATGGTCTACCTGATAAATTCAATTCTTTATTTTGGTTCGAACGAAAATGGTTTTTTGAACATCGTATCTATCATAGTCAGAATGATGATCAGGCTATTTTCTTTTCAACGAATCCATATAGGTATGAATAGATTCACTTATTTATTATAATAATTTTACTTTTAAGACGAAAGCAACACATATTATGTGAAGAATCAAACAAAAACATAAATCGAAATGATGAAAAAACTCATATACACTCAGTTAATCATCTTCTAATTCAAACTAAAAAAGCAGTGATTAATTGCCAAAATTATTTTCCAAATGTAACTGAAATTACTTTATTCCACAACTTTATTCATCAAAGTAAAAATTCTTTATCAAACCAATTCAAGAAAATCTTTCCATTGAAACAATTGACTAAATTAGTTATTCATTCAAATCTTTCTTGTTTTTCAAAAATGATCGAATTATTACGTTATATACCTTATATTCATACATTAAACATTGAACTATTGTCATTTGATGATCCACAAAGATCATATCATCTTACAAATTCATATGTACTTCAACAAAATGAAACTTTTAGGTTGGTTTCGAGAACAAATAATATTCAAAATCTAACTATTATATCATCCTATGAAATGGAATTAGTACGATTTTTTGTAAATTTATGTCCACGATTGAAACATCTTACAGTCAATAGATTTGGATGGTGGCGTCTTGAACCGTTTTTACAATTTTTATTATCAAAAACTAATAAGAATACTCGTCATTTAGTTTCATTATGCATTGAAGGTGCATCTGACAACGATATCGACGTAATAAGAAGTTTTATCAAAGCACAGAAGGACGTAAATATTGATTTGACCAAAGAAAGAAATTTGTCGGCTGATGATAGATATGTACAGTACAGCATATATTTATGGTGGTGACATTTCTTGTTAGAAAAACATGTTCTCTAATATTTTTTATTTTTGAAATAAATAAGGAAATTATTATTATTATCATATTTAATAGCTTTTCGTTAAATAATTTGACATTCATGAAAAAAATTATCATGATAAAATGCACTTCGTAGAAAGTATGTGAGTATGACTATAGCCATTTGTTTATGTTACTTCTAAAATAAAACTGTCAGATTCGAAAAGTTCAATTCGCGCAACAACTCTCTCAAATCTGTTTTAGCAAAAGAAAAAAGCATCATAATTGTGAAAACAAAGTGAATATGACATAAGGTGTTTTGTGGAACTCACATATATTTTCGAAGAAATTAGTGAATGTAAGTTTTAAATCGAGATTTTATTGTGTCGTGTGTGGGTGTGGATGTGGGTGAGTGTAGTCGGAGAAGAGATTCAACACCCACATCCAGACCCACCCTACATACAATATACATGTTTTAGAATGCATATTGCAATAAGAGAAGTCGAGAGTAGAACAAAGTAGATTTTTGTTCTCTTTATAAGTTTAATAGGGATACAGAACAAGATAGTAGCAGGTGTGAATGTGCGGGCAGATGTGGGTACGACGTTAAGGGAAGAGAAGGCTTACACACATACTCATACTCATACTCATATCTACACCCTGAAAAAGCAAAGAGATGATTTCGAATCCAATGCAACAATGTGTCATTGACCATGTTGGTATCATATTAAAAGTCTCATGTTGATTGATTTCTGCACATCCTGTTGCATGTTTATAATAAATTGATTTGCTAATTAAAATTGAAAGAATTCTAACAACAAAGAAAAACTGCTTAAGCATATTGATTATACAAATAACTTTCGCGAAAGTAACAAGAAGAATAATGTTTTGAAATAATTTGTAAGAAAAAAGGACAGTTGTAAAAGTGAAGCTTAGTCGTTTGTTTCATCCGACCATGTTTGTGGAGGAATCTCAACTTCTTTTGACGTATCCAATTCTTCAACCCTGTGAAGTTCCTAGTCACAACAGAAGCAATAAAAAGAGAATTATAGTAATCGAGATAATAACGTACCAAGGGTTTCGACAAAAGTGGCTTCACATATGCACCGAATAGTTTAAAGTATGGATTGTTGAGATGAGTCTGTAGATCACTCTGCTGTTCATACCGCTCTACGATGGCAAACTTAGTTGAATCTACCACATCTATTTTAGAATGACAGATGGTATTTCATTCGGAAAAGCAGAATAAGACATTCTTTTTACCTTGACTAACGAACCAGTCGATAGTTCCTTTATCCTTGATATAAGTGCGACTCGCTTCTATCAATTTTGCCTTCGCTTTTTCTACATGTTCGCTCTTCACATCCAGATGTACAATAATAGTGAACACCATCTTGATATTCGATCTTGTTTTAGTAATAGAAAAGACACAGCGCAAAAAAAAGATAAAGTCTCCACGTGTACACACGCAAAGTAACACAAAAAGTGAAACAAACACAAACTCCTCACTCGTCTCCGCACATTTTTATCGATAGAGTTATTATTATCATTACTTGTGCAAATAAAAGAAAGAAAGAAAAATATATGAATTAGACTTATCACTTTATTATTTACAATGAAACCTTTTGTACTACTCATCGAAAAGATTGACAATACTCGGATCATACGATAGCTCTCATCGCTAAACGAACAAGCTTAAAATATTACGTGCCCACAGCATACTTAAAGAGAGATATTTGAGTCTTAAGGTTTACACAGTACGTGACATGTAATCAACATTGAGAATTTTATCTCAATTGTTTTTTTTTCTCATAGCTAGACAAACCTTCCCGAGTTTTCTAAGAAAAAATGTACTTTAACTTTTAAAAACATATTTAATGAATGTTCCAACTTTGGATCTATGTTCTCGACTATTGAGAATAATTCCATTTTGAGCTTTTTTTCATTAAATATGTTTTGAAAAGTTAAAATACATTTTTTCTTAGAAAACACGGCAAGATTTGTCTATCCATGAGAAAAAAAGCAAACAATTGAGACAAAATTCTTAACGATGGTCACATGTCACATACTGTGTAAACCTTAAGACTCAAATATCTCTCTTTAAGTACGCTATCGGCGCCTAAT